TTTGGGTTTTCACACTAGCTAAATGTGTTCTATAATGAACGGTGCATGTGTGAAAAATATGTCATAGCATGTCACATGAAAAATATCTAACACCAGGAAAAGTGTTTACTAATCTACTCGGGTTATGGTCTCTTCCTAGGTTTGAATGAAATATATTAATCAGATGGATTGTGAAACTCAAGCACTTTGGGTGGTTTTTTATTTTATTTGCAAGCAATCAATTGAGCTTCTAAAAACTTATTTGGATTTTCAAAAATTAAAATTTCTATTTTCACGGCATGTTTTTTAGTATCCAAATCCGTTGCAAGAGTATATATATCCTTATATGCAATTTCTAGTTCAACATGCAATGCTTTCAATGATTCATGCTCAGCGATTAAATCAAAATGCTTTTTATTTAACTCATCAAATTCACCAAGTAATGTCAAGTGATTTCTATCAAGTGTAGAATGATCTTTCATCAATATTTCATGCTCATTTTGTAACTTCAGAAAATCCAATTTCAGGATAACATGTAATTTTTTAAGCTTTCTATGTGATGAATGAATTTTCTCCGAAACATCAAGAAATTAATCATATGTTAATTCACTTACCTCTTATTGGTTAGAGTGATCAAGATGATCATCTGCCATCAAATATAAGTTTGTTGTCTTCTCTTTAGCTTTAGTCTCAGAGGAGCCAGATACAAAATCTGCCTATAAAGATTTTTGGATATGTTTCTTATCCTTATTGAACTTGGGTTTATCCTCACCCTTCTTCTTGTTTGGGTGAGTCTTAAGTGTAGGGCAATCATCTTTTATATGACCGGACTTCCTGCATTCAAAATAAATTTCATCCGAAAAAACTTTAAAATTCTTGATACTCTTACCTTTGTTCCACTTATGATGGTGCTTTTGTTTGTTTCTAAAAAAGATTTTGAATTGCCTCATAATTAAGGCAATGTCATCACTTTTAGTACAAGATGAATTAATATCAATATCATTACCTTCAAGGCCATATTTTTCTTCTTCTTTTTCTCTCCTACATCAAGCTGCTTTTGGTTCACTTCTTGCTCGTAAGTAATTAGTGATCCAAGTAAGTTATCGATCGAATAAATATTTAAATCATTGGACTCAATTATAACATTAATCTTAGCATCAAAGGAAGAATACAAGCATATCAAAATTGTGTTAACTTTCTCATAGGTAGTTAGCTCTTTTCTTAAGGAATATAGGGAGGTGACAATTTATATAAACCTAGTATATATTTCAGATATCGATTCACTAGGTTTCATATGAAAGAGCTCATAGTCATGAAGTAACATATTCAACATATATTGCTTAACTTCACTTGTGCCTTCATAAGTAATATATAATGTATCTCATATTTTTTTACCAGTAGCATAAATTGAGAGACACATGTACGTAATCTTTAGATTTCAGTGCAAAAAAAAAAAAAAAACATTTTCCATTAAATTATGTTAAATCCCTATAATAAAAATTTCATTCATTAAATAAAAGTTCAGTTTTTATGCCATTGATTTCCGGTGTTGGTGTAGAATAATCTTCTTTAAAAAGCATCCATATGTGATAATATATAGATTGTAAAAATATGGACATGCGAGTTTTTCATCAATCAAAAGGTATATTATAAAATAAGGGTGGTCGAGTAATGAAATTCTCTTCCGCAGTATTTCAGTTACTAAAGTTAGTCGATGATTAAAATTAAAAAGTTTTCAAAAATTAGATTTTATGAATCCCGTTCTGATACACTTAAAAGTTTGTTAGGATTATTAAGTCCTTATGAACTAGCCTAAGATTAACCAAGAGAGAGGGGTGAATTTGTAGTTTTAAAATTTCTTAAACATAAAGTAGAAATTTTTTGAAACCTTTTTGAATATTTTAAAACAAATGCAATCAACCGCAGAAATTAATATGCAAAAAAATAAAGTGCAGGAATAACACATAAATAACACATTGGATTTTATAGTGGTTTGATCAACTTGACCTACGTCCACTCCCTAGAGTCACTCCTCCAAATATTGCATTAAAATACAGTGACTCTCCTTTTGCTCCCACAACAAGGTGGAGAAGCCTTTACAAACTCCTTTTTACCAACTCCAGTGAGGCAGAGAACCTGAACTCCTTTTGCTTCCTCTTGAAGCAAACATAAAACTTGATCGATTGCTGACGAAGACCTCCCTAGAGCTACCAAGGAGTTAAGGACGACGAACAGAGAAGATGACTCAAATCCTTATTTGGAGCAATATTTGTGAACACCTCACAAACTCCCCCTCATAAGATTCTCTCTCTCTCTCCCAAACTCTCCCTCACCTTCTCTAAGCTCTCTAAAATAAGGACTTCAACAAAAGATTATCTCAATAATAATCAAGAGATCTTATAAAGAAGGCCTTAAAAATTACCCTAATTTGTAACATGCCGCAAAGATCGTTCAGGACGATCTGGGTGTGATGAACTATTAGAACACATTATTTATTCTGATCATCTCAGACGATGCAGACATCATCCTGTATGATTAGTTCAAAATTATATATATCGTCTAGCAAATAGTTCTAGTCGTCCAGGAGATCCATGTTGGACAATGAAGAAACATAATTGATCGTCTAGGATGATGCTTGAATCATCTACGATTAGGTCAAAATTAGTGATTATCATCCATCACATAGTTCCGATCGTCAAGCAAAAAAATATGGATGATGAAAAATTATAACTGATCGTCCAACATATAGTTATGGTCGTCCAGCTGATTTAGGAGAATTTTAAGATTTTCTTACTAATCGTTGAGGACAATTTTGCGGTCATCTAGGACGATATGATCGATCAATCTAATATTAATTACTTTTTTTAATCACTTGACTAATTTAGACATGAGTTTAATGAATCGTTCAGGACGATATGATATCATTTTGTATGATTTCTAAAAATAATATCATAGCTAAAGGAGTTTGGCAGCTGAGTTTTTCTGATTTGAGCCTATCGTCAAGGATGGTGTGAATATCGTCTATGATGATTTGCTTAATCTGATTGGCTTAACACAGATGCCCTAATTAGGATTTCTATTTTTTTACTGATCGTCCACGATTATTTGGGATCGTCCTATACGATATGATCACAAACAAAAAAAACTCTTAAACTTATAGAATTTCTCCCCATGAGTGTGTGTGTGTGTGTAAGGTTACTTAGCATCAAGATTCACCTTATTACATTTGACTCAAGAAAAAGTAAAAAAACTACTTAAATAATTACATACTGACTCAGTTCTAATCTACACAATCTTGAGCTAGGTTGTTTCGTAATTAACTTTGTGGACCTTAATAGGGAGGGCAACCAAAATAGATGTGCAGTAGTAACAATAATAGAGAAACATGAATGCCAAGAATGCTTGTTATCATTCAAACTATAATCCTCGAATCCAGATTTGCAACAAATTCATCAATCATTAGTTAAAAAGAAACCCTTAATCCAACATTTAAGATAAAAGTGAGTTACACGACAATCTATTAAGTTGTGAAGGTTAATTTTTATCTTAAAAAGAAATCACATTACACATATTTAAGATATGTTTGGGACAATTATAATTTTTTGTTAAGTTAATTGTCAAGTTATTATGTGAAAAATAACTTAGCTAATTTGGCTGCAAAAAACAATTCTCTATCATATAATTTTTTTGAGAAATAATAAAAAAGTAGTTGACAAATGAAATTATGGTTATCGTCAAAAAAGCAAAATAATGAGAAACCTATTTCAAACAGGAGACATTATTTTGTGCGGAGTCCGAACGGAAAGAATCGTCCAAACAGTGAGTGTACATAGTGTGTAAAAAAATTTGATCTATATTATATACAAATATATACACAATATGTATACTCACATGTCTGGACTGTTCTTCCCGTATGGACTCCGCACATAATAATTTCTCATCAAGCAGACCTTTCGTCGCATGTAGAAAAATTGATTTTTCCTTTTAAGGAGGAGCATTGTCTTTATGTATGTATCTATAAAATTAGGTTGCAATTATTCTCAACGAAATCATAAAAATTCTAGTATGACAACAATAAGATAATATCATTAATAAGAAAAACATGTATAAAGTTTTCATACAATTTAATGTTTTAATTTTCGTTTTGACTATATACTATTTTTGCTCTCGATGATTCAAACAAAATTCATCCTTTTTTTTAGACAAACCAAATCATATTTCAATCAAACATATTAAGCTCCATTTCAAATTAAGAAATGTTTATTTCGAATGTACTAAATTCTCAGGTCATGCGTTTTACAAAAGTTTAAACATCCAAGCTTCTTGTAAATATCGTGTACCCAATCAACTATAGCAACATTACAATGAGAAAATTTCAAAGGTTTTATTTGGGGCGGTTTTTATTTTTTTTTTTAAGTAAAAATTTAATACAAAATTAAATTTTTGTACTTAAAAAAAAGAAAAAAACTTTAAGAAGCAATAATAAAATCAATTAAATGAAACTCACCAGCCCAATAAGAAAATGGATGAGGTGCTGTAATTTTATTTATTTTATACCGAGTAGCTTGGTACTATAGAATGAGCAAGTTGCCAAATTAAAAATTTTAAATCATATGCAAAGATCTTGATCTGTTGGTTGAGAGCTTAGCTATCAACTAAAATGTCTTGGGTTGTATTGCTCGTTGCTTGTCAAAAGTTAGATGAGGAGGTGATGATTGGGTCATTTCGAGCTCCTAGTACCTCGGTCATGTTGCGCTCAGCAAAATACGTCTTATATCTTTCAGGGTCTTTGAGAGCCTAAGTCAGAGTCTCCCGAAGGTCTTTAGACACCGCAAGTTTTAAGCTTGTATATGTAACATTTGTATACATAGTTATTGTTCATCACTATACTTTTACTGTGTACACTCACAAAAATAAGACACAACTTCAATCCAGCCTGAGCAAGTAATAATCCCTCATATTTTATAAATCAGTTTTTTTAGTATAAAAGTTTTTAAAATTAATTTTTTTACTAAAAAAAATTATTTTAAAAAGCAATCTAGATTCCCATAATAAATAAAAAGCTTAAAGACAGAAATATGCTTCGTCAGAGAAGAAAACATACTGATACAGACTCGTTAGCTTTTCTTCATCTCCGTTCATTCAGAACTTATAGAAGATATCCTTGAACCGCGTCATGTGATCAGGCTGCAGAGAAATGGCCAACGAGAGGCTGCCATCGCCGGTGGGACTTGGTAACAGAAACGAAAGCCCTTCGTAGGCGATGCCACCAGGCCCCATAAATATCGGCTTACCCCACCCGAAATCGGCGTCGTGTATGGGCAGCCGCGACCAGCTCGTAATCCCGATGTTAGGGCAACGGAAGGTGTGAGCGCCGCGCACCAGCGCGGTGAGATCCGGCTGTAACTCCAAGTAATCGAGGGCCGAGCGGAGGTACTCGTCGTCCATGCGGCTCAAGGCGGATTGAATGCGCGCTGCCGTTGAGGCTAGCCCGCCTTCGGTTAACTCTTCGGATGCTGCGAGTGGGGTTGTGGTGAAAATCACGTTGCCGAAGTATCCGGCGGGGAGCGGTGGGCGGAGGCGCTGGCGGCCGTCGGTGGCTATGTACATCTTGGAGGTTTGGTTGGGGGGGAGGTCGCGGGCGATGGAGACGCAGCGCCAGATGTGGGCGGCGAGGAGGGCGTACGAGGAAGTGGGGGATTTAGATTGGGATTTGAGGAGGGAGAGGTGGGAGGGGGTGATGGTGAAGAGGCTGACGGCGGGAGAGGGGGATGGTTTGGAGGGGAAGGGGGTAGGGGAAGTGGCGAGGGAAGGAGGGGGTTGGTATTCGATGTGGGGGAAGGAAGGGATGGGGTGGGGGCGGGCGCGGAGGAGATTACGGTTGATGTAAGGAGGGAGGGAGATGGGTAGGCCGCGGGAAAGGTCGGACCAGGAATTGATGAAGTGGAGGCCGGAGGAACCATCGGCGACGTGGTGTTGCATCCCGACCCCTAATGATGCGCCGCCGCACTTGAAGTGGGTTACCTGCAATCGCCACCGCACATATATGGATTTTAGTTCAATCAGAACAATCCAGAATCAACATTAAATGCATTTTGATTTTGATTTTTTTTTAAATGAAGAATGGAAGTCCGAGGAATGCGAGCAATTTCATTAAAGTGAAAAAGTAAATGCAAAACAAATGTCGCTTGATGCATTCCATGAGCTGACTTATGCTAGTCACTCTTTAATGCTTTTCTTTATGATGTTTAAGTCTCTCTTATTAAAAAGAAATTATTCTTTGCGGACATCGGATCATCCGAAGGCGAATCAGAATGCGCCACGTCATCCGGTACAAAGCTGCCATACACAATAAATGGGTGACGTGGTGCGTTCTGATTCACCTCCGGACGATTTCCGTATCCGCACAGAATAATTTCACTTTATTAAGAGAGTAATGGAGAAGGTCACTTACTGTTGTCAAACATGTGATACTCCCAATCAACTGTCATATAATGCATACTGATGTTTAAAATTTGTTGACCACCAATGTTTCAATCCTAATTTTTGGTTTCTTATTTTACAAGGAGTACAATAAAAAAGAACATTGACCATTACCCGACATCTATCATTTCTAGTTAACTTTCTTATGATGTTTGCCAATATAAAATGTATGTTAGCCACTGACACTTGCCGCCCACTTTCATGGATTTCTAGTCTTCTCTCTTGAAAAAATCATCAAACATCACCTAACTTCCAATATTTCCAATCCACCGTCGCTTGAATTATGATATTCCCACGAATAATAATCTAATGTTTATTAATGTCTAACATCAATCAACCTCTAATATATGACATATTCTTTTGTAGTCATTGGTGTGCCTTGTTGATTATCGTATGATGTTTGCTAATGTCCAATGCATATTAGACATAGAGGCCTAACCATCTCACATTTTTTTTTTCATTAGTCTCCCCTCGTATAATGAGAATGATCTAATAGATCAATAACCACTACATGCATTTGACATTCCAAGTTAAGTATCATCGGATGCATGCTAATGTTTGAAGTCTATCAGCTACTAACCTTCGATATTACCTTATTGGTTGCTAGTCTCCCAACTTCTAAAGAGAACGACTATGCAAACTAATGATTATTGCTCGACATCCAACATTTGCTATCGATTGTTGCATAAAAATTATGGATTTTTGGTGCCTATTAGCCACCAAGGATCAATACCCACCTTCCTATTTATTAATCTCCCCTCCCAGAAGGAGAATGATTGAACATATCACTGATTGTCATCTTATGTTTAACTTTCTAAGTTGACTTTCATTTGACATTTATTAATAATATATGCTGTATGACTATCACAAAAGTATGGCGCTTATGCTTTATCACTGATCTCCTCCCCTACAACAAGAATAATCGAGTTGACTGCCAATTATATCCCAAAATTTGGCATTCCAAATCGATCGTTGTTTAAAATATATTAGCAACTAATTCCAATATCTACCACCTAATTTCATAATCATCTTTCTCCCTATAAGGATAATGCTAATAGAGCATACTATTGACAATTGCTTCAATTACCAACGGTTGATATTTCTCTTTCCGAGACCGCGGTGCAACGCCTCGTGACAACTCAAATATCTTAAATCTTCTATTTTTGTAATGAAACATATCTTTAATAATCAATGTCTAATATATCGCATTAATATCATTTCCAATAATAAGCAAAGGGCATCCTTAGTAATTTTTGATTTGAACCAATATAATCATTTCAATTTAGTTAAGCCCCATAACTTTTTCATTTTTTTATTCTTTTCATATAAACAATTCTCAAACCTCATATAAGTTGCTTGTATAATACACACACATATATATATATAAAAGAAAATAATTAATTACTATTTAGTCTAAATAGTTTCTATTAGCTATATTTAAAATTTTTATTTAACTATTTTTAATGATAAATCATTAACGTTTGCTAATTTTAATTAAATATATACAAATTACTTAAAATAATCGCAATAAATAATTAAATAAATGATAATTGGATTTTTTTCTTTGAGGTAATTTAAGATTTTTTTTTTTCGGTTTGGTTAAATAGGAATTAATAAGTACATAATATGTTAAATATTAATTAATTAGTTCATCTTATTTGTGACTACTTAAATATAATTATAGTTAAAAAATAATTAAATATATTTTAAGCACTAGATTTCCAAGGGTTTATATACATAATTATATATGAAAAAAATTATATTATTTCCACACTCCTCTTAGAAAAAAAAAACCTCATTTTTTATTTGCTTCCGTCCTTCAAGTCGTTTAATAAAAATGAAAAATAATATTAAAAACATTAAATAATAATAATAATAGTTTTTAACGCTTTTAGATAAATGAAGAAATATATAAAAAAAATGGAGTAAATACCTGGAGTACGAGGAGAGGGAAGGAGGAGATATCGTCCGTATAGTCGACTTTAGGGATGAGCTGCTTCATCTCCATGGTGGGCGCGAAGTCCCCAAAATCGTCCACAGTGGAATCCGTCTCGGCCATGACAAATAGGACGCCATCGGCGTTGCAATCTATCTCGATTCGGCCATCCTCGTCCCGCGCCAGCCGACCAGCCATAGGGTAAAAAGGCACCAGTGACCTAGCCAGCGCGTCCTTGAGCCGCGCCGCTTCAAAAAATCCCTCCGCCCCTTCCGGTCGGCGATAGAAATACACGCTCGGCGTGTGAAACCTTGGCACTACCAGGTCCAGGTTTGAGTTCCATATCCTCTGCCTTGGCGTCTCCTCCGCCGGTCGAACCATCGCCGTCTCCTTAACCTTAATTATCATTTCCTTTTTCCGATTGACAGATCAATCACAGCAAGATTCCGGTAGATCGCCGGAAAAAAAGCTTCAAGTCAAATTTCCTCTGGCGAAGATTGAAAGATCAGCAAACCAGTTCGTGGGAAGGAGAATGAAGGCGAAATACCTCAAATCAGAAAACTAAGAAACAAGAAGTTGAATCCCTAATCAAAATGACCAGATCTATCCAGTTCGAGATCGTGAATGATCGGGGTTGGGATTGAGGATAAAAATTACAGATGAACAGAGACAGACAGAGAGAGAGAGAGAGAAAGTTCGGTGGGAGTTTGAAGAGCTCTTGGTGGAGAGCTGGAAAGCTCCTGCCCACCGGCGGCCCATATTTATACTGTATTTTAGAGAATTTTTTTTTGGGACATTTAAGTCATTTTTATGCATTTATACATCTATTATTTAAATCATTTGTTATTGGTGAGAATTTTATAAAATTTAAAAATTAAAATATCATATAATTAAATTCAAAGATTTCTATATTAAATATAAAAATAATTAAAAATTCAGCATTTTGTTATGTAAATGTCACCAAAATTAATTCAAGATGAATTGCATATATAAATAATTAATTAACTTTTATGTTATATTTATCTTAAAATTAATGTAAAATTTTAAATTTATCATGATTAAATTTAAAATTTAAATTAAAAACTTTGACTTGGATACTCCTACCTAACTATGATACTTGTTATATTTTTTATCTGAAATATTTATAATATATAAAAATTTAAAATAATGAAAATATCTGTTATAAAAATATAATAAAAATATTTTTTATAAAAAATATGAATAATCAATAAAAAAAAATCAATACAAATTAACACAATTTAATTTTTAAAGGTCATTTCCCATTTAGTCAAAAATTCCAGACCTAAACATTAGGTAAGAAGTCCGCGCATGTGTGCTATCCGCACCTAATTTTTTATGTTATCGTTGCACCGGATTGGTGAGGCCGTGAGGGTGAATGATTCCGCACACGCCGCACTCACGCGCGGCAAAGCAATGGGCTGATCGATCGTCAATGCGCTATCGACGGACAGTATTTATTTCTCGCATGCGATTGGATTGTACGAGAAAAAGAAAAAAAAGTTATGGGGCCCGTAGTACCGCTGACGTCAGAATGATTCCACAAGGTTGTAAGGGTTCTCCGATCACATCTGGCCACACAATTTGTGTGTCGTGATGAGCGGAGGATTTGGCTTTTTGTTATTGTGGTGGAAGTAAAGGTAAAATATATGATAAATTATGAAAAAGATGTGTCCCGCATTTTACATATTGACAAAGTGGCTGATTTTTTAGAAGTAGCAATTTAATAATTTAGAATAAAGAAGAGCAGCTGTAGTTGAACCAAATTATTAAAATTATAAGTGCGGGAATTGAATATAATTAAAATTTAGAGGTTAATGAAAATGTGTCAATCATTTGTACTGAGTTACTGAGTGGTAATAAACCGTATCGAGCATCGGTACTCGATACGAAATACAGGCAATGTTACATGCTTTTCAGGGGCTCTGTTCCATTTGCAACAGTAATCTTAAATAAAGATCAACTCGCGATTAAATATGTGTCAGTGTTTTTCAGTGAAATGGCAAATTATAAATGTGTGAATTCAATATTATTATTTAAAATAATAGTCAAAATCATAATTATTTAATTATTTAACAAATAGCCAAAATAATAATAAGATATTTAATAATTATTTAATATTAATTAAATATTATAAATAATAGTTAAAAACTTTCTCCCTTCCTCACTCCTCCCTTATCAACTCTCCCTTCCTCCATCAACTCTCTCTCTCTTCTCCTCTCTCTCCCACATCAGCTCTCTCTCTCTCTCTCTCTCTCTCTCTCTCTCTCATCATCATCCTCTCCCTCTTCTCTTTTTCTCTCTCTAAGGTGAATATGCTAATTTGGTTGGGGCACATTTTAAATGTGCTGAACTATTCAACATATTAGCTCTTTTTAAAATTACAGCATGCGATGCTCTGTCTGCTTATTCTAAGTATTAATCTATTCCTTTCTAAAAATTAGGCAACAAAATTTATATTCATCATTTGAAATAATATATAAAAAATGATATGATTAATAAATAAATAAAAATATAATTCTATAAACTAAATAATATCTTTCACAAAACTCATCTTCATTTATTGGTTGTGAGTTTTAGTTATTAATTAAGAGATTTTAGGTTTGAAACTTATTTAAGTGTGTGTGTTTGAGTAGGATGTCAAAATGAGTATTTGGGTTGAACCCGAAATTGATCCGATCCAATTCAGGTTATTCGAGCCTGACCTAATTTTGTAAACGAGTAAGAAATATAGACCCAAATCCGACCCACTGGGTTACCGTGTTGACCTAACTCGGCCCACTAATCCGAAATACAGTTAGGTGCTAGCGCTTGCGAGCAAAGGGGGCGAGCCTACGGGTGAGGTGATAAGAGCGTGCACAAAGTACACGTTACTATAAATGAATTGGAATAGTGAAGCCAAGCCATAGAAGAAGTAAACAAAAGGGACACTTATGTTTTGTTTGGGGAAGCTTTTTTATTGCTTTATAAAACAGCTTTCTAGTTAAAAAATTTCTAGTTAAAAAAAAAGTGTACTAAAAAATTATTTTTGAAAGTAGTAAGTTTGTCCCAAACTAAGTCTTAATATCATCAAAATTTTCAATGGTTGGCAATAGAGAGAAATATCTAAATAATGGAAATAATTTATGCACAATATTTTGCAATAAGTGTAACTGGATGATACAAAAGCTTTAAAGTTAGAATATGTATACATGCATGTGAGAGAGAGAAACTCATTGGATGGGAAAATCACAACATCTTTTATGGCCAGGCAAGCTCATGGATGTCTCATAACGTTGCTAAGTCATAATCTTGCAAAGGTTGTGACCCAAAATTAAACATGTAAGTAATAAGCATCTACAATACAGAATTTTTGATTGGCACAACCCATGAGCAATTTTTTTTTTTCGTTAGCACCATAAGTATAAGTGAAGATATGAGAGACCAAAAAACCTCTCTCTCTCTCTCTCTCTCTCCCTCCCTCCTCTTCTCTTTCATTTTTCTTCTTTTCTTCTATAACAAGGTGGCTGGGTAAGGGGTTTGAATTGATTTAAGATAGTTTAATTCTATAAAATCAACTAATCTGACTTCGTGCCATAATGCTAGCCTTCTCAGCACTTCAGCACTTCAGCACTCTTAGAGAATCTTTCATATTTTCTTAAAATTTTAATGTTAGAGAGCTTAGCGTCGCAGTGGCACCACCTAGCATTGTAGAGCACATTCATTTCCTTTCACCCACCTAAGATCTCAATGCCATGGTGTTGCCCATCCTGCACCGCATTGCTGTCAAAGAAGATTTAATGAATTGAAATTTACTCCCCATACCACCTTCTAGCTTATCTGAGGGTTCATTAAACATTCTGAGACTTACTTTTACCACTTAAATTAAAATTAAACAAACATTTCTCTTAATTACCTAGGTTTCATAAAAATAAATATAACATCCTCCCCTCCTTATAAAAAATATTATCCTCGACATTTCCAATATATCATACAATAAGAATAAATCCATATAAAGCTATCTCATCTCTATTTCTTTCTTTTAGGTTTCTTCCCATTCCGACATGCGCTTCCACTAAACTTTGACCTTCAAGATCTATTTATTTCTTAGTTGCTTTACAATAAATGCCATAATATGCTTATGTTCTTCCATATGAGGTCAGATCAGGCTGCACTTCCACTTTAACTTCAAGAACTTTACAATATGCATATGATAACTATTTCCTTAGCATTAATACATGAAATAATATTATGGATATCCAACATGTGATTTGGAAAAATAATTTATAAGCAGATTTTGATTTTCCAATTTTTTTAATCACTTCAAAAGGTCCTATATATTTAGGACTTAATTTGCTATCCTTTTCAAATTTGCTCTCTCCCTTCATTGAACTAGCCTTCATATGTATAAAATATTTGACTTAAAATTTTGTAAACTTGTACTTAGGATCAAAACATTTGTTTTCCTGTCCTGAGCTACTTTTAATCCTTTCCTAAATAGTATAATCCTTTTAGTAGCACAATATACCAGTTGAGAACCTATCAATTTTATTTCTCTAACTTCAATCCAAGCCAACAAAATTTTTGTCATTCTCCCATACAAAGCCTAATAGGGAGTCATACCAATACTTGCTTATAACTCAATCAAAGGTATATGATCTTCCCAACTTCCATTAAAATCCATAACATAGTCTGAATAGATCTTTCAAAATGTAATTTTGTCCCTAGACTTTCCTGAATACTCTTCCATAGCTTTAAGGTAAACCTACCATCATAATAAAAAATTATAACCTTAAGAATTTCATGCAATATGATAATCTCTTTCATATATAATTAAGCCAGCTTATCGATAAAATTGTCTACATAAGTAGAAAATGAGCATATTTTTTAAAGCTATACATAATTCCCCACATAATATTATGTCCTTGCCTTAACCTAGGAAAAATCATAGAAAAATTTATAATGATCTCCTCCCATTTTCAATCAGGAATAGACAACGATTGCAATAATCTGTTGGGCCTTTGATACTCATCTTTCACCATTTTATAAGCTTCACACTTAGAAATAAAGTATGCTACATCTCGCTTTAACTCAGACCACCCAAACATTAGCTTCAAATCATGATAAATCTCACTACTTGGATGTATAAGGTACCATAAATATTGGACTTCATGTAAAATCTCTTTCCACAAATCACTAGTATCCAGGACCCATAACCTACCACCACAAAAGATTATACCATGCATGGTCACCCCCTTGTAATTAGAATCTATTTTTATATTGATATATCAATTTCACATATTCCTTATCCACTTTATGAGCTTCTTTTAATCCTATCCTATAATAAAGGCTAAACCACCTCCCGGGATAAGCCTTCAACTGGTATATCAGATGAATGTACCACCTATAATTGTAACTTCTCCATCTCCTTAATTAATGCTTGTTAAAAAAATGATTAAATTGGTTTCCATTCCCACATATTTTATACTCAAATATCAACAACCATGTTTACTCTTCTTGGTTGATAAATGATATCCAAATCATAATCCTTAATTAGCTTCAATCACCTTCCTTCCTCAATTTAGCTCTTTTTAGATGAAAATATACTTCAAACTCTGATCATTACTATAAATCTCACACATGAAACTATATAAATAATATGTTCAAACCTTCAATACAAATATAATAGCTGCCAATTCCAAATCATAAGTTAGATAGTTCTTCTCAGGTTGTTTTACTTGCATAGATGC